ATGACATTCAGAATTTCGAATTCTGAAATGAGACAAACTCTCTATGTCTATTATGGTACTATCTATCCTTGGTGCAAATGGAGAGTCAATGATCATTAGGCACATACGATCTTATTTGAAATTGTGCGCTATCCCGAAAAACTATAATTCTTATTTCGCGTCAAATATTGGTGACAACGAATCCATATACCATGAGCTGGGCAAGTTGAGTTGAATTAAATTTAAATCTAAGATTAAAGTAAATAACCACTCTGTGATTACGAAGATATGATGAATTGTAAACCGAAAAACAAAGCTCGCAAACACATTTCGAGTTTAAAAACTTGATCTCCAAATAGAAGCGCTCCCATACTCATGAAAAATTCACAAAGATACTACTTACTTGTTTAAGATAACCTCTATGAGGGTACGTTATCGTACAAACTTATCCCTTACTGACTTTCATATCGGGAGATCTATGACAATTCATTCAAGGGGACAGTGTTGCGTTCCAGCAAAACGATGGTTCACCTTCCTCTACCACACCTGTTGTTCTTAGGGGAAACTAAATGGTATTATAATTTAGCAGCACTTGGCAAACCTAATATCTTTTGTAATCATATAAAACTGCACTAATTGGAAGAAATCTTTAAGGAGCCTAATTAGCTAAGGTGTAGGGGAACTTGTAGTGGAATTCATTCTCATTTACCGAAGTGCATCCCAATAAACTCAATTGACTTTCGTCTAAAATACGCACACATAGGTCCAAACATGTTTAAAAGGAATCGATTTTCCCCTTCAATTAGCCCGGTTTAAATATGAGAGAAAGTAAAGTATAGAGTATAAAGCGTGGTACAGGAGACGCATTAGATACGCGTATACCGAAGAAAAGAGGTATAATTTTGAAAGTTGAATGCCAAACTGAACTGGTTAGTATGAAACAGTAGACAGATATTACCGAATGGAGATGGAACGCCAAAACATGAGACTTCAAATACGAATTTTTCCATTGAAGAAAAAGCTGATTGCATCCACCAAACCAAGAAAAAAGGTTGTAAGATGAAATTTTTAAAAAGCTAGCGAATGTTACAATATGTACGGCACCATATGTAGAAAAATTGCGGAGTAAATATATTTACGAAATGTTACATTTCTAAAATTAAGAATTTGGCTATTTGATTTCTTTTGCATTAGATCACCTAGGATTGATCATTCTGCCTTCTCAACCTTGGAATAGAGGATGAATTGAAGCAGCCCGTCAGTGGAAATTGGATAGGAATTTGACCGAAAATCCATAAGAGGGAAATATGATACTTGAATTATGAGCTTGAGTTAAATATTTCAGCAAAAATGGCGTGGAATCTGAATTCAACACTCAGAAGCTCTTTGATACTCTGACTTTTCTGCCAGCATCTTTTCCACTTTCTCTCCTTCATCATTTTCTTCACTTACTGTCAACTGATTTAAGTTGTTTTTCACAAGGGAAAAAAGGAAAGAATTGTTCCTTTTGCAAACTAAATTAGAACCAATTAGGCACAAAATTAAAGGGATAGTCGTTTGCGATTCTCCTCAACACAATTAACAGAAGGAGAGGCAAGAAAAGAAGATCAGAAATGCAGAGCTCAGAATCGTCAACGCAAGTCAAAGTTGTGTCAACAATAATGAATAGGAAATGAGTTAGCATGTATTGGCGTGCATAATAGATCACTTTAAATACCTTTGTTCGCAACTGGATATAAAAAATTATTTCCTGCAAAGCATTTTATTGAGGGTAGCCAGAAGAGTTGTAACAGCTCATTGGGTCAATTACATGGTCATTATTCCTCATTTTATCGAGCATGCGCATTCAGACAATTATTTTCACAACTCAGACATCTCACAATACAAACCCCCAGAGAATAGGGAACTTGAGAGAGGGAGGTGAGCAGTCGAACAATATCCACATGATTGGCTCTAGTGCCTTTTTTAGCTTTAACATAGAGCATAAGTTAAAAGCAATTTGGCATCAAGTAAACACAAAATAATCGCTGTACTATTGGAACAGGTGCTAAAACGGTGACACAAAAACGTTATTACTGTTTACAGAAAGTAAACAAGTCCATATGTGTTGTATTACAGTTGTAAAAATTAAAATACCCCATCTATCTCGACGTGCAATAAAATAAAAATTAAATGATAGCCCATAAAAAACTATCCAATCAGAATAAAGCAAAAGAAAGAGACCAACTTCCTTAAAATTCAGCACCATCCGAATTTTAAGATCCCAAAGACGGACATTCGTTTCTCCGTTCCATGTGACAATGCAAAAAAAGAAATGTTTACACTTTTAATAATGTTAGCAAAGCTGGAAACAGTAAAGAGGTAAACATTCCCAAAAAAAGAGTGAAACAGCGAGACAAAATGGAACAAAACATTGAAGAGGTAACGTTAGGTGACCCGGGGTGTGCGATAGACTTACCTCCACGTGGTGCACCCTGGGCAACGTATACTCATTCGGCAAAAAAGTTTATTAACTGGCAGTTGACTTCTGACTTCAAACTATCCTCACCCCACTGTATGTCATATTCGACTATTTCACAGTACTCACCTCACCTTTTTCCATTTTTGTGTCTGTCTCTTTTACATCTTTGAAACTCTCTTCTGTTCCCCCTCTCCCTCTCGACTTATTTCACTTTGATGTTTCTCCTCCTCTGTAAAGCCTGAAGTCAACTAAAGGGCTAATGATAACTAATCAAAACGCCTGCCATTTGATATAAATAAATACGTTAGGAGACCCACCTTATTTATTTATATTTCATCAACAATAAACAAAAACACATCAATCCTCAAGTTTAACGCCTTGGTCTCGAGATTGGAGCTTAATTCAATTTAATGGTTGGTCGCACCACCTAATTCATTTGCACCTTCTTACAGCGATGAGCAGACGAAGGGGACGAGCGAAAGCAAATTGAGCAAAGCGTCGCCCTTCTCTAAAGGTAACTCAAGATGGGTTCTAAATCAATGCCTACTGTACCATTAGATCTTAGTTTGCGTAAATTAGAATAAAGTCAAGTAATAGATCAAAAGAACATTTAACCTAATTAAGAGTAGAGCATTAAGTAAAATGAAGTGGCTAAGAGCACATAGCGTCGTTCAAAGCTATTTGATATCATAGTGCAATAAAATGGAAGCATATCCAAAAAAATATTAAAACTCCCATACCCACATTGAAAGAAACTCCGAAGAAATTAAATCAAAGCCAGTATGAATAAATAGGACTCTAAACGGAAGTATTTGCGACACCGCAAAACCGAAGTTTCGGAATGAATGCGGCAGAAAATAAGGCAGCATGATACCCGTGAAAATTTGCCTTTCTAGGCCAAAAAATGAAAAAAAAATCATATACAGGAATAGATTAATGCTTAGTCAAGCTCCTTTCTATATCTAAATTAAGTAAATAATTAGCGAAATTCGTGTAAGTGCTATTCGAGGGGAAAAAGCTTTTTTTCAAAACGAGATTTGAATGGTCTTCCGGAACCTCTTCGACGATGAAGCAGCCCCGTGTGTATTGAAAATAGGGCTTTTCAATCGCGAAACAAATAAATATTACATTACACAGTTGAGGAATTTCCCTCCTTTTCACAAATCTGACCACAAATTAGAATGATATCTAACGCATGTTTAAATATTTATGTTAGAAAGGACTGCAGGAAATGGCTGTGACGCAGCCAGTAAGCTAATGGAAACTATGTGTGTAATGAGTCGCAGATAAAACAGAATTCGGTAAGGTCATTACAGTATCATTACCATTGTAACTCATCGTGGATGAGCTCTACTATCCTTACAGAGCAAAGCCTGTTTTATCCACTTGTTCGCGGTTCTAAGAAGATGCAAATGCTTTAGTGTATAATTATCTCAGACAAGAAGTAAATAATAGAAATGGAATTCCGCCCATTTCAGCCCCAACCAGACAATGTTGCTCCATCGCGCAGTCAAAAAAACAATGGAGGTTTTTTGCATTTTTAGAGCTAATAATAATTTTTGAAGTAGTTTAGACGCTATCTCTCCTTAGCTTCCAGAAAGTTAAATTTATCAGAATAAAGTTTTAGAAATACTCCATTGTTATCCCTTTCATTTAAGGTATGTCGTGCCTAGGGTATGCATATCGAATTCCAAAATACGTCAGAACCCACCTCATACTTTCAGGAATGAACCCAAACAATAGCTCTAGAGTCAGATATTAACACGCAGGTTAATTAAAAAAATCGAGTAGCTCACGGCAGTAAATACAGCTACCTACGGAATCTAATAACTCGAGTGTTCTTGCACCCTGCCTATACAACCATGTAATCTAGCAAATGATAAAAAAATTGCAATGCTTAAAATTCTCCACTGAAATAATTCAAAAAAATTGAATTGTAAAAGAGTCAAATGTGATAAATATCATTTAGGGAAGAGCGAAAAAACGAAGACCATATTTAACCCCTCAACCTACACCCCCCCCGGCCGCCAAATCTCCTCTCTCACTAACAATCGAATAACAAGAAGACGGTGGCTTCTCTCAAAGGTGAAATAGCTGAACATTGACACCACCCCACGGTCCCGCGACAAAAAGTGGTGATTTAATGAGACCAAAACAAACAGGAGAATTGATGGTTATAGGTAAAGGAGAAAAAGCTGACAAATTCTACGCAAAAAAAAAAAGAACCACCACTTTTGTTTGCCAAATACACGACAAAATGATAGAGAATCAGCATAGATCATGAAGTTCAAATTCAGAATTTGTAGTTAAAATGAAGTAATGCATTGTGCTTGATAAAAATAAAGGTTTATTAACAGCTTAAATTTTGGTAATATAACTTAAACAAAATTAAGTAATTGCCGATCAATTACGAAGGTGGTGGTTTCTTCGTCAACACAAAATGATAACCACTCTTTTGATCCCAGAAGAAGTTGAGTCAACTTAAAGATCTTCAGATATAAACAGAACAAATAATGAGTACTGTTTAAACAAGACAACTGCGGCAAAGGAACATGACCAATCAATTAACAAACCTGATAAAACTGTGAGAAATCTCTTCACTAGAAATTCGTCCACCACTTTGTTCAAATAGCGGTGGTCCCTGTTTCGCAAAAAAGGGAACGAATTTCATTTTCGCGCCAGCCTGAAATATTATTGATATTGGGTCTGGGGCATTTGATACCCTTCGATCAGAACCCGATAGGGCCACCAAAGAACCCCCTAACCCTGCCGGTTCCTCAGAAATCGATGATTGAGGGTTAATGCTTGAGTGATGCAGCAGTGAAATGGGTGACGAGACAGCCGCAACTGCCTCCTTATACATCGATTGGGAGGCTTGGTTTCGATTGGAATTTCCTTGAATCCCGGCATATGAGAAGCTCTTTCGGACAGGCAAATCAGATTGGGATTTCGAGGGGTAAAGAAGACGTTGCTGCTTTTCCCAGGGCACCACTAACTCAGTCTCATCCATTATGACAAAAGATGGCGAATAGAGAAATTGAGAAATAGGAGAAAACTAGCACAGTCTCTTCTTCTATTGGGCAATCAAAACAAACCAAAGAAAAATCAGGGCAAAAGCTATTGGAGGAAAGCGAGTAGGATGGGTATTTATGATTGGACGGCTATTATAGCAACTATTTTGATATACTTAAGACGCAGATTTTAGCCAAAAAAAAGAGGAAAGTGAGATCTTGTTCGGATTAGCTTCTTGCAAAATTAGGAAAAATCGCATGCACTTACTTGAGGTATTTGACGCCAGTAGACATTTTTGGAAACGAACAGATGGATCTTCGAATGACAGGTAAATATCGGATGAAACCGAAAGCAAGGGTCTGAAATAGGGTTTTGTAAGTAGAGCAGTGATAACGGATCATTCGAAAATATGGTATTACATATACGAGGCTATTAAGACGACACGTGGACTTATGACAATTCAATATCCCCATGGAAAAAGAAATTTTAAGTACAATGGCGGATACTACATTATTATTTTGTATAAAAATTTCTTACAACAGCTAAGTGAAGCTACGAGTAAGAAGATATTGCTGCAAACAAGTTGCAGTGGATCATCAGGAAGAATATCATCCCGATCCGTGGCTGTAACATAAAACTACATTTGATTAAATCTAAACCAAATTTTTCTTCGAGATGTGCATTAGAACTTCTTGCAAAACATCTCAAATGAAAAAGACGCAAACGAAGCTCAATATTCAAAATATCGTGATTAAGAACTAGTCCTAAAGCATGGAGTACTTTAATATTTTCTGCAAAAAGAAGTCGCTATGGCAATGAGCTAGACAAATTTTCTGGCGGATATTATAGCTATGAAAAGCAAAGTAACACTTTAACATATACTTCAGTAAAATTCATTTAAGAATGTTAATCTATGCCTGAATTTCTACGGTATTTCAACTTATACGTCCATCTGATGAAATTCAGAGACTTTACCATTTAAGAACACCGGCTTTTATGAAGATATTGAAAGTCTAAGTCGAATTAAAAATAGATACCAACATTTATTCTTAGGCTATGTAAGATAATTTAATAATTTGGCTTTTGAGAAAGCCATGCAAATAATTTTTCCTGCTTAATAAATTTTAAATTGTATTATTCTAGTGCTTGGCAAAACGACTACTTTGTTTAGTATAATGCTGATAGAAATAAAAATTAGTTTTATGTTTGTATAGAAATGGATTTCTAATTCGTATCGTTTTGTTTTTTCATAAATTAATCATAATGTACCCATTCATTATTTATTGAATAAGGGCTAGGAATGCTTTCACGAAGTACACTTTATTTACATTTTGTGTGTATTTTGGCTACATATAAATTAATGAATATTGAATATATGCATACACTTTTAGGTTATAGTTAGAGTCTCATTTTAAGTTTAATTCTATCATACAATTATTATGATCAGCTGTGTAGTTGAAAATATGTGACGACTAGTCAACTTCAATATCTTCCCATCGCAAAACCTCTTTGGCCTTTTGTCTCCTGGCATTTGCAAGGTGCCGGGGATCCATCTCATCTGGTGTCACGGGTTTAACACGGAATCTGCGTCTGTAAATAAAACATATACTTAAATGATTTCTAATTTTCCACATTTATTTAATTCCAAATTCCCTACTTATAGTAAGAATTAAACATTCTCATGTTTAACCTGAAACTTTTTGAAAATTTTTTGAAAAGGAAACAAGAATTAAAATTGATTAATATATATGGAAGGTGCCTCCCGTTAAAAATTTGCATAAATGAAATCTCAATGGAAATATTATAAAAGGTTACTTATATACGTATATATCCATATATCAGACATACATCTTAGCCAATACGCTGGGTGTGGCGATGAAATCATCATAAGATAGTGCTAATCCTATCAATATCAATATAATAAAAAGTATCAGCGGCCACATTGTTTGAATACTAGCATTTACAAGTTTGAATAACCAGGAGTTGTCATTTATACTACGGGAGAGTTTATCGTCACCTGATATTTCAAAGTTTCGCATGATTAGTAAGTATTAATTAAATCACGTAATTCTGAAACCATATATACCCAAATATTAACCTAAAAAATTGATATATAGATCACAGGTTTCTGCTAAACTATTATGATTTGCACTTATCTATATTGTACTACAATCAAATCTTAGACACAATAGGAATTTCCACCAAAGAACCGCAACCCTATATATAAGAGGATTTAAAGCACCATGCCAAGATAGGCCGGTTTTTATCTGTTTTATTTATTCATTTAATATAAGTATATTTGTTGGAATTAGCTTTAATCGAAAGGGGAAACAAATGAATTTACAGAAGAATTGTTTTCCTAAAGGTAGTATTAATCAAGTAAATCTTGTATCTTATTGCTACTCTAGTAAGCCTTGACTTTCTGCTCAGTAATCTCTAATGCAAAGTTCCAGTTTGGTTTTTTTTCACTGCACAAGCTAAGTCGCCGCAGGACTATAGAGGAAGCAGACGTTTGATGTGAACGCGTTTATTTTGGAAGTGTGTCATTGACACAAATCGCTGTCATTAAAATTCGATAAAGAATTTGTTAAACAAAACAGAGACTATTGATTAGTAGTTGGCACAGCCGCACCTTAGAGTCTGTCTAAGTTCTCTTTGTTTGGACATGAGAACGTTTTGTGCTCCACAGTCTTTATTTAATTAATAAACTTTGAAAAATGGCTTGATAAGTTAAATTTGTTTATAACAGTCAAGTCAATAACTTATTGTTAAATCATTATTTTATCGCACAAGACGTCTTCACCTTCTATGCATCTTTATTCAATCAGTGCCGTTAAAACATATTAACTGCCCAGTTAAAATGATAAATACTTTCCTTACTTGCCGACAAAATGTTCTATTGCAAAATTTTCGTCAAAGAAAGATAAAACAAATTTGATAAGGGAAATCGAAATAGATCAATTTGTCTGTTTTCTGACCAATTCTAGCCTGAAACCACTTAATCAAAATATGCGGTTGGTTTCATCTTTTCATACATGCCTTATACCAATTGCAAAACAGGTTATGAATTTCAATAATAAACTTCAAGCCACTGTTATAACATTATGGGTCTCAATAATAGCTGCAGATTCCAGAATTTAATAAAAAAGCACATTAATGCCTTAAGAAGGTTTTACTGCAGAATTATGAGGTCATGACCCTGCTTTTAGGCTATGAATTTCTAATTTTTTCCCATGGATAACGAAAATTTACTTCATAACACTTACGTACCTAATTATATCTTTTAATATTAATTCTTTTGTGCCTGAGCAGATGAACCAAACGTTTTAACAGTGGTTTTGGCAGTGTGGGGAATGCAATCCTAACACAATTATAGCAGGCAATCCCACACGTTTTCGGCCGTTTTTGAGGGTGCGTTTGTGCGTCCAGAGGATATCTCTGGCAGCGTTTATTCGAGTCATTTAAAATGTACTCAACTACTAATCATAATTAGGATAATCGCTTTACTAGCATTAAGCCTGCTTCTTCATATATCTTAATTTATTGCGTTAGCCTTCCAATACAAGGATATTTTGCCATAGAGAACACTGATGATGAGTCACGGGGCAAGCCGTCACAACTCCACTTTGTGCACGTTATTGGAGTTTTTATTAGTTGTCAAATCCAGTCACCCGATTGAACAAGAAGTCCTATGTGTGACACCTCAAAGAACTAGATGAAGCATGATGTTAAATCGATCAGACTTCGACTAATTTCAGTTAGAACCGCGTGTTAACACCCCGTTGAGAAAAAAATGAAAAAAAGTTAGTATACAATATTATTGACACCAATAGACCGTAAGCAAGAAATTTCCGAAATCGATGAGAGAAAAGGCGTAAATGATGATCACGAAGTAAAGAGTTAAAATTAAATGCACAAAAAACATGATGGTATTTAAAATTCGAGTCTTTGATTGTCTGCATTCACTTTTTTAATCTGATTCATCTCCATCACTTTTCTCCGTTTCGTCTGGAATGTTTTGCACCAATTCCAGGACATGTTCGGCGGGTCTCACACGACCATCCTCTCCCACAACACCTGGCTGAATGAGTCCACTCCTGAAAGGGAATAAAAGAAATTATTCAACGCTGCAACTATTCAACAAGAAGAGATGAAAAGCTTAATCCAAAGATTGGCAGTCACTAAGCTCTATGATTAAATCGCTTTCACTTTGCTAAAAAGGCAATTTCCGAATCAGGGAAGCTGTACTCCACGTCAAATTCGTTTAAGTATTCAAATCAGATCCTGATGAAGGTTAGTAACCTCGTTAATCGATGACGATATAAATATTGGGAAAAGTTAACTGCCAGTCACAAGGCGTGGGTTTACAAGGACGGTAGGAGAACAAAGAACGAGGGTGGGGCAAAGAGAACGCAAAATGAGAAGAGCAAAGGGGGGAACGTGACAGCCAAGCGTGTGCACTCGATGTCCCGAGGGCAAAGAACTGAGTCACCACGAGGTAGAAGAGAGCCAAAAAACCGATCATCGAGACTCTGCAAAAGCGATTTTGCTAAATGAATATTCTACCCAATGGGGTGCGCGGAAGACTTACCTCCACGTGGTGCTCCCTGGACAACGTATTCTCATACGGCAAAAAAGTCTATCAACCGGCAGTTGACTTCTCACTTCGAACTACCATCACCCCACTGTATGTCATATTCGACTACTTCCATAGTACTCACCTCACCTCACCTCTTTTCTAGCTTTTCTACCTTCGTCTTTGAAACACTCTTCTGTCCCCCCC